TATGATACAAAACTATGCTAACCTTATGTGTACTTTACATATGATACAAAACTATGCTAACCTTATGTGTACTTTACATATGATACAAAAACTATGCTAACCTTATGTGTACTTTACATATGATACAAAAAACTATGCTAACCTTATGTGTACTTTACATATGATACAAAAACTATGCTAACCTTATGTGTACTTTACATTTGATACAAAAATCACTGAACTACACTGTGCTGTAGATACCAACCATACACACACTTTCACTATATCACAATCATATATTTACAGATTACTCTTTTTTATGCTATTTATTAATGCCTTGCAATACTTATGACTTTTATTCACTCACACACTTGGTCAGAACCTCAGTCTCTATCACTAATTTGTTAAAAGCACCTTGAAAATAATTATTGAGTTCTACTGGATATTTTTTTCATTAAACAGTCACATCAAATAAGTGTAAAACAATTATCTAGTGTATTCTTACAATAAAATCATCTACTCTTTATTTAAGTGACAAAAATGTAAAACAACATAATCTAGAATGAGAGTCTTCACGATCACAGAACACATAAGCACACAACTGGCTTTTGTATTTTATAATGACATATTCCATGTTTCTTTAATGTAATGTGTCAATTACAGGAATTGAACTCTGAATTGTAACATTATAAGCCCTCAATCTTACAACTGAAGACCCCTTCCCCCCCAAAAAAAAGAACATGCAAATTGTACTTATGAAACACAATGTTATACTACATATTTATGTACCCACAATTTTATTGACCTTGACCTTTGACCAATGATCTTCAAAAGTTAGTCAAGTCTAGAACTTTGTATGTAATACCTGTTAGATACATTTAATCAAAATCCATCCACCAAATTTTGAGATATCCTATCCACTACGTTGGGACTGACGGATGACCGGACAAGGACAAACCGATCTGCTTCATCCTGCTTTATAAAGCAGTGGTGATATAATTACGGAAAATCTTGTTTTTTATTATTCTACTTAAATACACAGTTCACTACTAATAACAAGAAAAGCACACAAAGTTCTTACCGTAACAAAGTAAACAACTAACTTTAAATAATTATGAACTTTACGATGAAATTATCAAAAATAATCAGTAATTTTCTACAGCCTATGTGTACATGAAATATCCAAACTGTATCAATCCTTGCCACTTTTTCCAATTCAATTAATTCTACACAGCTAAACATGTCATAATTATCATCTTGACTTTGTGGGGATTTGAAAAGTAATTTTATTTAAATGAAAGATTTTAACATAATCATTCAGATATGAACATGTTAAATCAAATCACAGACACAGTTCTGATTGAACTTCATATATATATATATATCTTACCTTTCTTTTGTAAAGAACTATACAATTGGCTATAATATATTCACTCCTTTGATACTTTATTTCATAGTTATTCACACTAAAAGAGTATTAACATACAATTATATCTGCTATTTCTTTATTAGAATAATGATACAGTTCAAAAGCATCTTGTAACAACAGATGTTAAAATGAAGTCTGAAATATTTTATACACAGTATGACTTTTGATAGCCAGTTAGTCCTTTTGTTATTTCAACTATTCATCTTCATCATCATCTTCTTCTTCCACTTCTATCTCTTCATAAAACCCTCCTCTTGCCAATGCTGTAATAACATACAAGGAAGGTTATTGATGTCTTCACATTATACTAAAACATTATCTGAGTTATCACAGCATTATACTTAAGGAAGAAACGGTAAAGTACTTTGAAAGGTACAATTTACTTGAATTGTAAAAAGATGCCTTTTTTGGTATATTATGATTTATAGCCTATGGAAAAGAAATCTTAACTAAAACTTCCTCTTTCATGTGAAGCAGAAGCAGTCTTGGCAATAAAAATCAATGTACTTTAACAAAAAATCTCTGAAAGTATCAGGCTCCCAATTTATATAAATTCCACTTTAAATTTTTGTTATCTGTCCTTAATTGTTTTACCCATAAAATCTTCCTTACTAGAACTGTGGCTGTATTGTTGGTTTTGTAATTAAACAATTTGTTGCTTATCCTTGCCGTCACCATATAAAATCACTGAAACTGCTAATATAGTAAAAAATAGTACATTATTCATTTAACTAAATGAGGGGGTTAAAAATAATACATTATTCACATATGACTTTAGATTGAAGACTAAGTAAGGGGGACTGCACTCCTTTCTCAGTCATCATATCAACCAAGTATGTTGCAAGTGGAGTCAAACTCTGATAACAGAGTACAGTAAATGTGTCTTGTGATCATATGGTAGGTCAGAGGTCCGCAAATACTATTAGCGCAAGATCCCCCTCCCTCCCTCCCAGAACATTCTGCATCCTGACTGAAACCCCCCTTACCCAATGAATTTACAGATACTCAGTACCTTAAAATGTTGTGTATTTTGAGCATTTGCTATGGTTTCAAGTTTGGGAAACCATACAGTAGATGGTAACTAATATAATGTCTTCGTATCCTGCAATCTGGGGAATGAATTTTATTATACATTCTAGCTGGTCTCACCATATAAATATTGGAAGTTTATAGAAATATGTCAAAAGGTCATCTTGTAACACTATCATTCAACAGATGAGCATGAATAAGCATGTGTCAAAAACTTTCCATTCACACACAAAAAGTTTTTTATTCCTGATCAATGGTCAACAGTAGAAATAGGCCAGAATGCATGGGAACATTCTTTAAGGAGGAAAAAGTAATATACCATTCCAACTGTGATTTATAAATATACTACATTCTGGAATTGAACTGACTGTATCTAGATTGTCACTCTTTGAATTAGCTACAACATGCACCATTTACATATGCCACGCTGAATCTCTGATTTTTCCATATTATGATTCACTCTGTCCTTTGTGACCTTACTATGTATGTTAAATCATTTATTATGCTATGTTAGTCAACAGATAGCATTTTTCTAGCCAATTTCATTATGTCTGATAGAAATTTATCAAATTTAAAATATAAAATGCATAATTACTTTAACACATAACAATGCTTTTATCTATGTGCATTACACAGGTTGGTGAACTTTACCACAATGTTCAAGGAGAAGGATCTGGGTAGTATAGAGTAAGTTGGTGACTTTATTACAATGTTCAAAAAATAGATCTGGATAGTATAGAGTAGGTTGGTGAACTTTACTACAATGTTCAAAAGAAGGATCTGGATAGTACAAAATAGGTTGGTGAACTTTACTACAATGTTCAAAAGAAGGATCTGGGTAGTATAGAGTAAGTTGGTGACTTTACTACAATGTTCAAGGGGACGGATCTGGGTAGTATAGAATAGGTTGGTGACTTTACTACAATGTTCAAGGAGAAGGATCTGGATAGTATAGAGTAGCTTGGTGACTTTACTACAATGTTCAAAAGAAGGATCTGGATAGTACAAAATAGGTTGGTGAACTTTACTACAATGTTCAAAAGAAGGATCTGGGTAGTAAAGAGTAAGTTGGTGACTTTACTACAATGTTCAAGGGGACTACTCTATACTACCCAGATCCGCTTGGTGACTTTACTACAATGTTCAAAAGAAGGATCTGGATAGTACAGAATAGGTTGGTGAACTTTACTACAATGTTCAAAAGAAGGATCTGGGTAGTATAGAATAGGTTGGTAAACTTTACTACAATGTTCAAAAGAAGGATCTGGGTAGTACAGAGTAGGTTGGTGACTTCACTACAATGTTCAAAAGAAGGATCTGGATAGTACAGAGTAAGTTGGTGAACTTTACTACAATGTTCAAGGAGACGGATCTGGGTAGTACAGAGTAGGTTGGTGAACTTTACTACAATGTTCAAGGAGACGGATCTGGGTAGTATAGAGTAGGTTGGTGAACTTTACTACAATGTTCAAGGAGACGGATCTGGGTAGTATAGAGTAAGTTGGTGACTTTACTACAATGTTCAAGGAGACGGATCTGGGTAGTATAGAATAGGTTGGTGAATTTTACAACAGCATTCAAAAAGATGGTTCATAAAGTAGGTGACCATAAGTATGAACTTTGAAATTAGCAGCAGGAGATAGTGAATTTTATTGTTTGTAAACTCCATAATATTACAAACTTATTGGTCCATATCTTAAACTATGTGTTTCAAATTCTCATTAAATTTTATCTTTGGACTAACATCCAACTAATCCTAGTTCACAGGAGTCTGGGATCTATTTTAATGTTAATGGTTCAAGATTTTGTTTATTTTAGGAACTAACTAGTGGTGAAAATTAATTTTCATAAGTCTGTCATTTAATATATATACATACATAAATAAAAATTTGTACTTAAATGTTTTATATAGCTACAGAAATTATGCTTATTACCTATTATCTTTTTATACCTTCTGGTTGAAATTTTATGTTTCTGAGGCTTTGCTGAAACATATAACATAAGTAGAGTTCTTAACAAATATTAAGATTCTAATTGAAGCCACTAATTAATAATTGCTTTTCAAAAGTATAATGCTGATGATAAATATAGTGTCTCTATGTAGATCTTTTCTAGTTTGAGATAAATGGACACTATATAATTTAACAACTCTATAAATACAACCATTTTTATTAAAGTATGCCATTTATTGTGCTTAAACGTTATCACTGTTTTACCTATCATGCAAAGCAGCCTATTGGTGGCAGTGTTATGGATCAATACCAGCTAGTCACCAATTTTTCATTAGATGTTTAAAACTTCAAATCAGTCAAACAATTAATAATAACTTGCTTCACCAGAACAGCTCCTGTTTAAAATAAAGTAATATCCATATCAAATACGTGATGTGACAGTGAATATCTGTGTGACTGGCTTCACTACTTTGCATCACCAATGAACTAACTACAAAATGACTAAATGCCATGTAAACCATAGATATAAGTAATGTAATACCACTTGATTGAATTAGTCAAAGTAATCTTGTTGTTAATGTAAATACAATTATTTTACATACTTCATGGGTTATTATGATTAAAGAAATATTTGTACATGTAATCAATGTACACAAACAAACAGAATTCAGAGACACACAGTTCCTAAGTTGACCCTTTACAAAGGCAAAGGGTTCAACCCAGTTACCCTTGTAATTAGTGATCTATGTTATTTTAAATGAATCATCAAAGCACAAGCTCTGACCCAGAATGTGAAATGTAACTTGAACAGTGTATGTAAATCATGTGATCTGGGGGTTCAGATCCCTACTAGATCCTATATAAGGTCTGGAAATTGGTGCACATTTGTAGTTTAACTTTCCCTTGCTGCTTATCTCTACTATGTGATTTGTATATAAATGTATTTTTTAGTATTCCTCTTGAGTTTGTATCACTATTGAAAATAATCATGCATACAAGAACACAATGCAAAGACAAACAAAAAAACACCAGTAATAAGAGTCAGAAAAGCAACTTAGTTGTGAAATCTTCATCAGACATGATACATCATGATGTGTACAGACATTTATCAGACATGATACATCATGATGTGTATAGATATTTATCAGACATGATAATCATGATGTTTACAGATATTTATCAGACATGATAATCATGATGTGTACAGATATTTATCAGACATGATACATCATGACGTGTACAGATATTTATCAGACATGATACATCATGATGTGTACAGAAATCTTCTGTTATAATATCAAGTTGTCTTTGTTTTTTCTTTGGAAAATGATATACAAAACGTTTCAACTGGTTACCTAGCCGAAATAGTAAATTCTTTAAACATTTTTCAACACTTGTTGATAGACATGGTCAAAATACTTATATGTGTGTGTGTGTGTGTGTGTGTGTATATATGAAACTTTCTTTGGTTCTGTATATACATAACAAAACAGTGCATAGATGGTAACAGTGTGCTTGTCAAGAAGAATATGTTAACAGTTGTAAAAGGACTTAGCCTTGAACTAGAGTTCCCTAATACATGCAACCGAAAACCTAATAGATCAATAAGCTAATTCTGCTTATCATCATACTTGAATTAACCTACCTTTATATATATATACAAACTTTACATATAAAAATATACATACTTGTAAAGTATATCATGCAAGTTTTAAAAAGTTAAATAAGCTCGTGAAAGGATTTAGCCTTGAACTAGAATTCTCCAGTGGAAGCAACCTAAAATCTAGTAGATTCACAAGTTAATTTTGGTTACTTCTCATCATTCTACTTTAAATACCTTATCTTTATTTATAAAACTACTTTACAACTGAAAATATGCATACTTATAAAATACATTACATATGTTTGAAAAAAGTTAAACAAGCTATGTGCTTAATGTAATCTTTCTTAACATACAATTGCAAATTATTGAGAAGTCCTTCAAACAAATTTTTGTATGCTCTAAAAATCATAAATATGAAATATCAAATAGTTTTTCATAACTACACTAACCTTCTAAAGTTTGAGTGACGTCCAATTTCAACACCTTATCAAGGTTTTCTTCATTTTGCTCCTGCTCCTTTAGAGAGAATATTGTCAAACAGAAATATAAACAGATATTTAAAAATAATATGTCAATGAAAGATCAAAATGTTTCTTATTGCAAATATATCTACAAAGAACTGGTAAACCATTTTCTTAATATCATAACTCTCAAAGCAATGCTGAAAATTCCTTTAACTTAAACCAAACTGTTAGTTTGCAAAATATATATATACATGAATTTTAACAGAAAGTAGGGATCGTTAGTTATTCATAGAATTGCCATAAGAAGTATCCAAAAAAAAATAAATTCTACAATAAAAAGTACACAAACAAGTAAAGTGATACTAGTTGGATAGATTTCAAAAGACTTTTCAATCTCTTTTCGTTGACATTGTGATTCGTATAGCTAAATGAAGCAGTCTAAATTTGTCATACTTAATCATACATTTATAAGCAGGTTAGGTGACAATTCAGTATTATAAAATATTAAATATTATAATTTATTAACAAGTCATTCACAACTTTAATAATTATAATTCATTCTAATACTTAAAATAAATTCAGTTCTTGACAATATGTTTTCATTTAACACATGCACATGTATATATAAAAATGGAAAGTATATAGTCTTCATCTTTTTTTTATTTATCAAAATAATTTTAATAACCTAAAAAAATGTTATATATAAAAATAATTTTAAAAACCTAAGAAAATGTCAAGGAATAAACTTTTGTGCCTTTCTGACATATTACAAATAAAACTAAAAATTGTTTGTATTTCCTTGAAAAAAATTCTAATCAAACATTTAAGACTATTCAAACATTTTTCTATCAACCTACATATACAATATCTACAAAGTTAGCAGTAATTTTTTTTATTCAGACTACTTGAGTATGTTAATAAGTCTCATTATACATGTTATTCAGTCATCTCCTTGTAAAACCTGTATTCTGAATACATGTGCTTTCCAAAGTTTCTGTTGACTCGGACATTATTTATGGTCTCCATCCAACTCTAAGAGTACGAGTTTGTTGACACAGTATTCCTCTGGTAATCTTAATTTAGAGAGCTTTGGTTGAGTTTCATTTGCAGGTTTAAAAATACATGTATTGTACTATAGTTTTAAAATAAGTTATTATAACATTTTTTTATTTTTTTTCTTATTCCTGTAAACTCCCAGTGGAGTTACAAGCTCCGCACCCAACCCTCCCCCTTTCTCATCCTGGACTTGGGACCAGGTAAAGGCAGAGGTTGGCATGTTTGGTGTGATGGGGATTCGAACCCACGACCCTCAGATTACGAGTCGATCGCCCTAACCACCTGGTCATGCCGAGCCTTATTATAACATACTCATATAAAATTATTCAGTCCCATTACATTGTGGTGCTTTATATGAGTTCCTGAAGGTCAATCATATCTTACACACTTGACTGTTTATATTTTTTGTGAATTTCATCTTTTAGCTTCTTTAAAATATGTTATTTACTGTTGTAACTTGTACGGTTTGGGAGCTTCTGACTGTTCCTTATGTAGTATAACAATGTATTTTAAAATTAATTGTGTGAAAAGAGGTAATTAAAAGCAAGTAATGAAATAAAGCTGCATTCTCAAAACAATTCAGATTTGCATCCAGTATTTAGTGTTCATTAAACTTATACTGAAAAATAGTCACCCTAAAATTCAATGTACAATAATCACACACACACACACCCTGTATAAGTATTACTAGTGAACAATGAAAACAAAACATACAAATTCAAACAAAATTATCATGATTATCAACATTAAATGTTCACAATATCGTAATTTACATATTTTTTGTAGAATAAAATCATGACTATACAGGAGAAAAAATTATTCTTAAGAAATCATTAGCTTGCCATACGGATAAGATGTAAATGTGCTAAATCTGAGAAGTTCCTTACTAAAGTAACTGAAAAACTAAAACACAATTTTTTATTATTATGTATAGTTATGTTTAAAAATGTATTGATATTTGACATTATTCAGGACCTCTGTGAAAATTATATGAAAAAGATCATTTAATAGTACTAAAAATAGAACACAAAGATTTAACCAATGTAAATATTTTCCTTACCTGAAAATGTTTCATATAGATACTTATCTCTCTGTACCACCAAGAATTATTATTTTGAATGTACTGTTGTGTAATTTCCTGTGCATATCATAAGCCTTGAACAAAGCCCCTACCCCTACACAGAGTTTCCAAGGGTTGTCACATACCAGGGGTTTTCCTTTTCTGACACTGTTTCCTTAAAGGAGCTCATTTTTTGTAATTTCTCTGCACCAGCCCCTCCACTATCTTCAATGTGGGATTCTAACTCTTATTGGTGCAGAGAGGTAAGTAACATTGCTGAAGTTAATATTTTATTTATCTGAAAATGTACTTCAGACAAATACTCACCTCTCTGCACCAGGGAGTTTACGTCTTCAAGAATAAGTCTATAATTAAGTGCTTGTATTCATGAAGAGTACTGTGCATGGAGGATGAGTTACCCTTCTATTGGTGGTAGGCTATAGTCTAATGATTATTACATCATAGGCTGCTATAATACATGTAGACATCAATAGGAGTAGCTTTGTTCAAGGCTTGTGGCATGTGCAGGATGTTACATAGTAGTGTGAGATAGGTAATTGCTTTTGGTGGTACAGAGAGGTAAGTAGTGTTTCTGATATCAAGTTATTTAACTCTTACTTTTTTACATACAGTAAATAATGATGTATAATACATAGAATTGAGTATATGAAAACAACTTTGAATATGTGAATCAGCAAATCACGTGACAGCCACAGCAAATACAAAATCATGGTGGAATAGAATGTATCAGAACTAAATTTTGACATTGTTTGGTGTTTTGTACATACATTGATGGCACCAAAAACTGACTGCTTTTGAGAAAGGAATATAACACTTTAGAATGATATTCATAAACTCAGATCACAAAGATGTGTTCAGATTGGAGATTTAGAATTTTGAAGAGTAGACTACCATTGTACTTAATAGCACTGGGAAACAAAGGAATATGGATCAATTTTGGACATCAGAGCCATCCAGAAAGAGACCTGCAACAAATCATGCCCTAGCCATGGTAAGCACAGTGCAGCATTTTGTAAAACAGTTGACGATCTACAAACAAAAGTATCAGTGCAAAATGACAGTAGGGTAGGGGTTCACCAAGATAAGTCTTCCAGTCAAACCTCCTATTCAACCATCACATATCTCAAACAGTTAGAGAATGAAATAGGTAATCATA